GCCCCCCGGGCCAAAGAGGCGGCACCCCGCCGTCCTGCGCCTCCTGAGGGAGCCTGCGAGACCCGCCGCCCGGGAGTCCCGAGCGCCACACTCACCTCCCGCCGAAGGAGCCCGCGGGACTCGCCGCGGGACGGAGCCGCACCCGGCGCGTCGGACTACATTTCCCACCAAGCTGCGGGGCTGCGGCGCGGAAGTCCGAGTGCGCAGGTGCGGGCCGCAGGGGCAGAAAAGTGGGGGCAGCTGCTGGCGGTAAGGTTCCCGCCATGGCTCCAGGTGTACAGCGGCGAGCCGATCTGAGTGGCCACCTTCCTGTTACTACTGCCCCTCTTTAGAGGCCTTGGGACAGTGGATGGGGCAGATAATCTTCCGTAAGCGTTGCTTTTCGTCATCTGAAATGAGGAGCCTCTCATCCACTCCTTGGGACGCGAGCCTAAGGAGATAAGGTTGTGATACATCAGATGTGGTGGGTATTTAGGTCAGTGTCAGGAGATGCTCTTAGTTCTTCAAAATTACCACAGTATAGAAAGATAGCAAAATCTCTCTCCATTAAATGTTTGTCCTACATTCAGGTAGTTTCAATTCCATCTGCCACTTTGGAACTTGAAGTGTGTGACATTTAGGGGCACAGCAGTATGGTATCTTCAATTGTAACATTTGGTTTTCTAAGATTAATTGCTAATTTCCTCTGTCTGTTTTTTTCTCCATGTTTTTTACGATGAGTAAGGCTGCGGGGATCAAAGATCTAAGAACCATTGTGCTTCCAAAATATCTTGATGTTGATTCCGCACAAAGAGCCAACAAGTTGCTCTACATGTGCCACTCACTGCAGAAGCCAGTTTTGTCTTTTTCTTTTGTTCTGCCTTTTAAAAAAATATTTTTTATTTTTTACTGTGACAGTCTGAGTTGTTCCTCACACTCTCCCAGTACCCATTGCTGAGGTTCAGGTGACACTATCCCCAAAATATGACACCTTGGCATTTGAGAAAATAGCAGAGGCAGGAAGGTCACTCTCACCTTGTTCTCGTCAGTTTCCTGTTCCTGGAAGAAAATACCAGACACCTGTATCTTAAAGGAGAAAAGGTTTATTTTGGCTCATGATTTTAGAGGCCTGATCTATGGTAGCTGGCTACAAAGCAGACACATCATGGTGTTAGGGTATGGTGGAGAAAGGCTGCCGAACTCATGGATACCAGGAAACAGAAAGTGGAAGGCCCAGAGGGGAAGGGACCAGGGATAAGACTGCCCTTCAGGGTATGTTGAATAAGGTGTCATTTCACTCTCTCACATATTTCCAAATTTTTCCTTTAACTTTAGTTTTCAGAAGTTTTACTATGATGTGTTTTGGTGTAGGTATCTTTGGGTTTATGCTCTTGGGAATTTGCTCAATTTCTTGAATCTACAGGTTTATACCTTTCGCTAAATTTTTCATCCATAATGCTTCAAAAACATTTTATGCTTTTTCCCTTCTGAACTCTGATGACAAAAATGTATATACTTTTATTATACTCTCTCTGGTTCCTGAATCTTCTCTTTTTTAAATGTTTTTTTCTCTAAAATTAATTTCTATTGTTCAATCTTCAAATCCACTGATACTTCCCTGTCCATTCAGCTCTTCTGTGAGTCTATGCAGTGAATTTCAAAATTATGGTTATTGTACTTCTTCAGTTCTAAAATTTCCATTTGTTTTTATCCCTTTAATTTACTTTTTAAGACTTTGAGTTACTTCACTGAGACTTTTTAATTGGTTTCAAGCATTTTCATAATTTCTCATGTATTTTATACTTTATCAGCATTAGTCTGTCGGATAATATTAACATGGTCACTAACTTGTATCTAGTTTTTAATTTTATTTAGATGATCTTCCTGGTCCTTGGTATGATGACTATCTTTCAGTAAACCTGAACATTTTTAGTATTATATAATGAAATAATGGATTTTACTTGAATCTTCTATCTGCTTTGCTTTGACACTATCCCAGCAGAGGCAGAGAAGGTGCCACTTAATTGTGGCCAGATGGGTAGATGTCCAGGTCTTTCACTTGGCCTGATACCTGGAGAGGCAAAAGTTTATTTCTTGATATAGCTTCTTACTGGGTCCTACTATGACTTGGAGAAGCAAGAGTGCTGGTTTTTGCCATTCCTTTTTGTCTGAAATGACACCATAGGGTTGAAATGTAGCCTCGTTACAGCTGGACAGTAGTAAAGGTTCTATGCAGTCAGCCTTCACTGAGACTGTCCTAGCAGGAAAGAAGAGAGATGCTGTCTTCTTACTGGGTAAAGGTTCAGAAATCTAGGATCCCCATGTAGTCTTCACTATTCTTGGTAGGATGCAGCAGATTCCCATAACCAGCCAGTGTGGATGAATATCCTACTTCGTGGCCTGCTCAAATATTATCCAGCTGGATCTTTATGGCCCATCTTTACAGTCTTGCAAAGTGGAAGTCTAGGCTTTCCCTGTGGTCTTTTCTGGTGTGTGTAGTGATAGGATCATCTTTTTCTGTTATTTGGCTGAAGTAGAGTGGTTATTTTCTAAATGCTTCTGCTCTTGGTAGCTGCGCCTTTCTTGGTCATGTGGGTACAGAAAGGAAGCTTTGTTGGGGCTTTTTCTCTGCCCATTGGTGTTTCTGGAATCACAATTTTTTCAGATTGAAGTCCGGGATATATAAAGCAAAAAGAATCACTAAAATTTTATGTTTATTTTATATACAAAGGGATTTTTATATGTATTTAGTAAAAGAAATAGGAAAACATACATTTGTCTGCTCCATTTTATAAAACAATGACTTTTAGATTAAAAACTTAATGCATAATTATTTTATCCAACAATACTCATATATAGCAATATTGTTACTGATAACGTAATGTAAAGAATATTTCTTTGTACTGTTTGTTCTCAACTCATCTTGATGTTTCTTTACACAAATGCATATGATGAACATTTCAAATTTTGAGTTGATCCTTAAGAACCATAAAGCAGGATATTAAATGATATGGTGGAATTCTGGAGTTGAAAAAGTCAGAGACTGTGTAACTCGAAACCAAATGGGGACTTGAAAATAGATCTCTTGACTATGTTCAATGTTCTCATTGAAAGTTGTATTTTTAAGTGGTACTAATGAAACAATTATATTTTATAACCTCAGACAGACTGGCCAGTGTACTAATGTAATTATATTTTCTGATTTTGAAAGACTAATTATACTCTGACTTTGAAAAGTATAAATATGTCAGATGTAATTAAGAATTTTGCTATTGATGGTGTTCAGCAAACTACCAGGACAATTACAGGACACTAGGAATAGAACTGGCCTCTTTTTCCCTCTCACTAGGAATACTTTTTTTTTTTTTTGGTACTGGGAATCGAACTCAGGACCTTGTGCTAGCCAGGCAGGCATTTGTGCTGCTGAGCTATATCCCCAGCCCTTCTTCTTCTTTTTTTAAGGAATACTTTTTATAGACTGCCAAACTCCTATCCCCAAGAATCAATCCTTCCATCAATTTCTCAAGCCAGAAATTCACAAATCATCTTTGAACTGTCTGCTTCATCAAACATTCCTCCTAAAACAGTCTTCAAATTGGTTACCCACTCTTCAGAAATATATATTAGTATCTTCAGAATCAAACTCCAACAGCCTTACACTACAAAGATCATTCAAAGTCTCTGACAGCTGAACTCTAGCTTTCATTTCAATTAATTTTCTTTCATCTATATCAGCAAGACCAATCTCCTTACTAGTTCCTATAGATGTTGGACTCTGTCTTCCTCTGAGCCTTTTGCTCCTGCGCTACTCTTGGCCTTGTCTTCTCCTCCCTTTCCCAATATTACTATTCCATGGATCCTTCAAATTTGGATGAAAAAAATTTCTTTCTACTCTAAATTCTTAGAGGACAATCCTGGCCACTTTAAGCAGGTTTCTATTAAGTAAGAAACCTAATCTTACACATACATACACTTGCATGTTGATACATTATGACCTAGTAGGACTGATTTCAGATATGCAATGTCAAAATTAAAATAATGCAATTCTCTATTAAAATAGTGAAAATATAATTTCAATCAATGCAGAAAATGGATATGACAAAAATACTATTCTCATAAGAAAAAATTCGTAACACACAAAGAACACAAGAAAATTTTGACAAATATCCACCAACAAAGTTAGTTTCAGATTAAATGGATCAATATTCAGTGGTATCATTTCTACTCAACATTGTACTGGCCCATGTTATACAGGATTACAGTGTAAGAAAAGATATGATTGGAAAAGGAAAACTAAAATGGTCACTTTTTTATATATAATATGATTGTGTATGCAGAAAATCCAAAAGCATCTACAAACAAGCTGTTAGAAATAATTGAGTTTAACAAGGTTGCTAGATACCAGGCTACTATACAAAAATCAACTGTATATCTATATACTAGTAATAATGGAAAATAAAGTTAAAAAATATTATTTCCAATGATTCTCACTACAGTGAGCATCATATCCTCTGTCTTCATAACACTACATAAGCTTGTCCCCCTATATAGAAGGCCTTTCTATTGATCTTCATATACCTGGTCAACCACTACATTTTAGTTTTGAGACTTATCACTCTGTCTTTTTTTTTTTTTTGGTCTTTTTGAGACAGGGTTTCACTATGCAGTTCAGGCTTGCCTTGAACTCACTTTGTAGCCCTGGCTGGCCACAAACTCATGGTGATCTTCCTGTCTTAGCCTCCTGAGTACTAGGATCAGAGGTCTGCATACCACACCCAGCTGAGACTTACCACTCTTTAAAGCATTATTTTTCTCCCACCCTGAGTAGCTTTAAAACTTTAATTCATCAACAAATTCTCTCCTTAAGTATCTCCTCCTACCAGATTTCAAACATACAAGTATAAAAGTAGAGCATTTTTAATTAAATAACTATATAACAACTCAGAGCCATGCTTCCTTTAAAAATTTTTCTAAAGCATATTTAAACTCATCTTGTTATTTTTAAGCACCCAAATATCGAGTGCTATGTTTAACATCTTACAAATGCTATCTTTTTTCTACCAGAGAGAAAATGTCAACAGGCCAGGCTTGCAGGTTTATGCCATCTTTGATATCACAAAACATTTTTATTGTTACTAACAATTTCTAATTGACACTATACACTTCACAATGAAATTCAAATTCCTTAGTATAGAAAGACCCTTTGTTACCTAGCCTTTGCCTCCTATAGCTTCACATACCATGCTCATTATTTCTCACAAGATTTTCTACAAATGTGCCATGCTGTCACCCATCCACCTACATCTTTGCATATGTGGTTTCACCTATTTAGAACATGTCTCTCACTCTTGAAGAATTTCAGTTATTCTCCTAAAATGTCTTAGGTATCACTGTCTCTGGACTATCACATCTGGTTCTTCCAGAATTCCATGGTTAAGTCTCATGCCTTCTTTCTGCCTCCTGTAAAAATCCCTCTTGTCCCACTACATAGAATCATCATAAATTAGACCTATTTTCTCCATGAAAACCACATTAATTTTTATCACCCACTATTCATTTTAACTCCCACTTGCCCATCTCTTTCATTTAATATTTGAATATGGGCCGTTTCTTTCTTCATACAAGTTCTAGTGCCCAGGGTAGAATCTGGCCCAAATGTAGGCCTAAGCACACATTTACTGAGTAAGCTGGTTTTAAAGGTCACTTTGCAGTCTAAAATTTTCCAAACCTATAAAACCTTAAGTGAAAAAAATAAGGTTTTAATCACTGATTGATTCCTTTTTAAAGACTTTGTCATGTGCTATTTTAAAAAAATTATCAGGATTTATCTTACAACCAACTATAAAACTATAGCTTTACTTTTGAAGTGATTGGCTAATCAATACAAAAGTTTTGTTTGAATTATCTAATACTACTATTCGGAGCATCATTATGGTTTTCTAATGAATGGCTTCAATAAAATTTTGAGAACAAAATTAAGAATTGTTTAGAAAGTGTGGGAGACCCTGGGATATCATTTAACAGAACAAAAAGGAAGATAACAAACATTTTTTTCTCCTTTTTAATGAAAACCATGCAAAAAGTTTGACAATAGGTTAGGAAAAGGTAAACTCCAGACACTGAGGTAGCTTGCAGTTTGTTTGTCTTTTATTTGGTCCTGTGCTCTAAAAATGCATGTACTCATTTGTTACTAAATTAGCTCCAATAAATATGCTAGCAGCTCATACAGTTGTTTTCTGAGAAATCTAGCAACCCTGAACACCAACTTTCCTCAAGTTTACATAATGCAAATACTATATAATGCTGATAAAGACAGGAAAAACCCATATTTCATCTTATAAATGGCCAGTGGCAATATCTGCATCTATGAGGTGTCTGTCTTAGGATGCTGTAAAAAGTGACTAATAGGTATAAAATTTTTTACCGTAATTATTACATACGCAAGGTTTATCCTTGGAAATTAATATCTGATGAGGACTAAATTAAGTTTCCTAATATTCATTACATTTAGTAAATCAATCTCAAGTACCTATTCACTGATAAACTTTGGTTTAAGGCTTTCACACATGTAAATCTGCTTTCAAAAAGTCTGAGTCAATATGAATTTTATGATGATTAGTAAGAGATGACCTCTGGCTGAAAAGTTTCCCACATGCATTACATTCATAGGGCTTTTCTCCAGTATGAATTCTTTGATGTGCAATAAGTGAGGAGCTTTGTCTAAACGTTTTCCCACATGTACTACATTTAAAGGGTTTCTCTCCTGTATGAATCCTCTGATGTTGAGTAAGAGCAGCACTTTGCCCAAATGACATCCCACATTCTAGACATTGATAAGGTTTCTCTCCAGTGTGAATTCTTTGATGATTACTAAGGGATGAGTTACATCTGAACGTTTTCCCACAATCACTACACTTATAGGGCCTTTCACCAGTATGCATTCTCTGATGTTGAATGAGAGCTGAACTTTGTCTGAAGGCTTTCCCACATACCTTACATTTACATGGTTTCTCTCCAGTATGAATTCTCTCATGAATAATAAGGGTTGAATGGGAACTTAAGGCTTTGCCACATTCAGTGCAATTATACAGTTTCTCTCCCGTATGAATTATTCGATGTCTGTTGAGCCGTGAGATAGAAGTGAAGCCTTTTCCACATTCATTACACCTGTAGGGCTTTTCTCCAGTGTGAATTCGTTCATGTTGAATGAGTGATGCACTCTGACTGAAGGCTCTCCCACATTCACTGCATTTGAAAGGCTTCTCTCCAGTGTGAATTCTCTGATGATAACGAAGAGATGAGCTGGACTTAAAAGTGTTACCACACTCATTACATAAGTAGGATTTTTTTCTGAGATGAAGTCTCTGACCTCCTGGAAGGGAAGTAGTACAACTGGATGGCTTCCTGCCTGGATTATATTTATGGGGATTTTCTTGAGCATGGATTTTTTGATGTATAAAAAGGCCAGATCTTCTGCTAAAGGATTTACCACATTCTTTACATCTATAGGATTTCTCCACAGTGTGGGTTCTAAGGTGCTTACAAAGGGATGCACTATGGCTGAAGGCTTTCCCACATTCTTTACATATGTAGGGCTTCTCTCCAGTATGAGTTCTTTGATGTTGAATAAGAGCTGAACTTTGGCTAAAGGCTTTTGAACATTCTCTACACTTAAATAATTTTTCTCCACTATGGTTTTTCTCATGTTTACGGAGGGATGAATTGTGAATAAAAGCTTTTTCACATGTTCGACATTTATAGCGTTTTTCTGCTATTTTGATTTTTGGTTGGTTAAATGAATTTGAATTCTGCTTGAAGCTATTTCTTTCTACTTCATATTTTAAAGGTATTTTGTCTCTAGCAATCCTTTGTGTCTTAACAACAACTGATTTCAAACTAAAGTTTTGGCCAAATTCAAAATTGTTATGGCATTCATCTAAAGCAAGGATTTTCATATGGGTTATTGAAATTATTTGCAAACTTTCATTTTTGTCCCGTTTTTTAAATCTGTCTTCAGATATGCAGGGTTTTTCTGGTATAAAATCCCAGGGTTCATCTTTTTTTAGTCTCTTCTTCCTTAGCCCCTGAAGTGATAAGTCTTTCGTTTGAGTAGTCTTTGTCCTTTGAAGACTGCTTTTATATCCTGGAGGAAGGAAAAAACAATTGCTAATGATTGGTGTGATTAGGGGAGACTAAATTCATAGAAGGGGTATTTGATATCTAAATAAGGGTTTGCGATAGAATAAGGGTTTGTATAGAATATGGTAGCATCGAAAAAATAGGAAAACAATAATTAAATGATAATGAGCAATGGTTGTACTACTAGAGTGAACGAAGAATAAAACAAGCATATTTAAGAAGCATGAGCATGGTAAGAATGATCAGTGCAGTGAAAAGAGGAATTAGAGAAGTATGAATTGAGAAATGTAGTCTGGTACCCAAAGCCTAAGACTGACTCATCAACTGATTCATTTTTAAATTATTTCCATTTTTGAATGTCTTGCCTTTGTTTCCTACCTAACAAGCTCCTCCACAGTCTTCAGATTCATTTCCATATTACCTTCTCTGTGCACTACTTCCTGACTCTGAGCTCCAGCAATTCATGACCCTCTTCTTATTATAGCACTTTTACAACACACAGTTACATTATATAGGAAACTTTCAGCTCCACTAAAATCTTATAAGACCACTGTTGTAGATGCAGTCTGTCATTGATGAAAATCATACAGCACATAACTACACTATATGTAAAGAAAAAATTTATCTTAAGAGAGGCTGCAGCAAAATTCAGCACTGCAGACAACAAAAACACTTAAGAAAATAGGAAATGAGGAATACTTCCACAAAATGGTATAATTTATACACCTTAGAACTTAAACTAGTATCTTACATAGTGAAGAAGTACTAGATGTATTTCCACTATGCTCAAGGACAAAGCAAAGGTATTCATTATTTTCCCTACTACTCAACAGTGTACTAAAAGCATTAATACAAATGCAGTTAGATAAAAGAAACCAACTAGAGACTTAAAGATGAACAATGAGGAAGTATAACTAGCTGTATTTGCTGGTATTATACTATATATAAAAAATCCCAGGAAATCAATGATTCACTGAAGTAATAGACACAGCAAAATCAATAGCCATCATTTACAAAGAGAGGAGCACATCTGCAAGAAATATGAAGGCTAGGCATAGTGGCACACGCCTGTAATCCCAGCATTTGGGCTTAGGCAGGAGGATCATCACAAGTTTGAGGCCAGCATGGGCTACATTTGGAGTTCAAGGCCAACTTGTTCATAGGGAGACTCTGTCTCAAAAAAATATGGAAAACCTACATGAGAAAAATGTTATGAGCATTTTGAATGACATTAAACTATACACAAACAAATGGAATGATCTCTCATATTGTTGGATAGAATAATTCAAGGTCATAAAAATGTCAGGGGATAAAGACAACAAGAAGTGCCATAGCAAACATCCTGCTAATATTCTACAGAGATCTTTGTCCTGCAAATAACAGGGCTTGGCTACCCACTGCCACTGTACCACAGAGGTGGTGCAGACACAAAGGCAGGATGCCACTGCTGCAACCTCCACTGACTGAGGTAGTTTCCAAAGGATTTAAACAACAGTGCTGAATCTCCACAAATCCTGACCCTTTTTTTTCTTTCTACTTTTGGGAGTCAGACACTTAAGGATAAGGACACTGAAAAGCACCTAGCACAGGAGGATTTAGAAAGTCATCATACTTGTCTAAAGAAAGGCTCAGAAAAAGGCATGAGAAAAACTTTGATTATACCTCAGGCTAATTACTGGCAAAGAGACACCTGTAACTATAGAAAAACAAAACCAAAAATTAAATGAACAACACCAAAAACTGAAACTCCAGAAGACCCAGAAAAGGAGGAAAATCTCACTCCCAGAGTAATAGGAGTAAAAGATTAAAATGCCTACTTTTCTTTTCTTTTCTTTTTTTTCAAGAAATGGTCTTGCCAAGTAGTTCAGACCAGCCTTGAATTCACTATGTAGCCCAGGCTGGACTCAAACAAATGGCAATCTTCCTGCCTCAGCCTCCCAAATGCTGCGATTATAGATGTACGCCAACATACCCAGTAAAATGCCTACTTTTCAACAAAAATCATAAGAAAATTTTTTTTTAAGGGAAAGAATGGTCAGTTCAAAGGAAAAAAATAAATAAGAGTCTCATGCTCTACTGACTGAGCTAGCTGGGCAGAAAAAAATAAACAGAAAACACTTATGAGGAAAGATCAAGTGGTGGCATATGACAAAGAGTAAGACAACTGTCATAAAGCTGCTCAGAGAGCTAAAGGAAGATATAGAAAAAGTCATGAAAATTAGGAATGAAGTAAAAATATGAATAAAAAATTAGAAAACATAAAAAGAAACAAGAAATTCTGCAGATGAAAGTATAGAAATTCAGTGGTGGATGGCCATCACCTCAGCACTTTGAGAGACTCAAGCAAGAGGACCCAAAGTTTGAGCCCTACTGGGCAACTTAGTGAGCCTGTCTCAAAATGAAAAACAAAATGGGCTGGAAATGTAGCTCAGTGTGACAGTCCTGAGTTGAATGCCCAGGCTAAAAAAAAAAAAAGAAAAAAAAAGTAGAAATTTAAAGGAAAATTCCACTTGAGATTTTCCAAAGAATCAAGTAGACAGAAGAATCAGCAACTGTGAAGGTACAATAATTAAATTTACTGTGTCTGAGAAAGAGAAAGTAAAATACACTGAAGAAAAGTATATAGAACCACCATACCTAAAGTTGGTCAGTAATCCAATCATGGCTTTCCTTTAGGGCTGTCTCCCAGAACTGAGGAGGAGTGAGCTGACACCATCAGCAGGGGTCCCAGCCTCTCCCTGCAAAGCTCAGGACCCCAACCCTACTTCCTGTTCAGTCTAATCTGTCTAACACTCACTTCTTTCCTCTCTTAGGGGCTCAGAAGATGGGGTACAGGGTAAGACTCTCCTTTTCCTCATTCTCACACACTCAGACTATGGCTAGTAGCCGGAATTCCACCTCCTAATTCTCAACGGCTTCCCTGCTGCCTGCATTCTGTCATTCTGTTTGCCACCAAGTAGCCTCCCTGACCTCTGGCAGCTGCTACACAATTAGGTACTTCTTCCAAATGAAAGTTAACAAAACAGATGCCTGTACTTGGCATCTCAGATGCTGTCACCTGAGATCAAGCCTGGGCTGCCAGGAAAGGTAATCTGGTTCTGTGCTCCTCCCTGACCCACACATGAGGGGCTGTGGCTGACAGTGGAACTGACACAGCCCACACCTCTCCTCCATGCCTTCAGGTGCCCCACATAGCCGCAGCCTGCTCTCTGTAGTGAAGGCACCTGGGCCTGGCTCCAGGTTATGTAGGATTGCTCAGTCCAGTGCAGCTCTCAGATCCTCAGACCAAACTCTGTGATAGGCATAGGATTGGCGATACCTAGTGCCATTGTTGTCTTCTGCAGCCTCATCTACCCTTCTCCTCACTAGACACTGGCTTCATCCATCTCAGAATCCTCACACCTTGCCACTTCCAGGGCTGGGTTGATTCTCCACATGCTCAAATCCCTGCCCTTTCTCAGGAAAGTGGTGGCTGCTGCTACCTCTCCTTTGTTCTCACAGCACTTTGACTTTCCTCTGGCCCTCACTAGAATTTGTCCTTCAACACCCAGGTGTGGAATGTTCACTCTTGTTTTCTGCACTAGCCCGCAAGCTCATGAGGACAGGACCTAATCTCATCATGTCCAGTGCTGGCCTCTGAGACCCTGGAAAGAGGTTATACACCATATATGAAGGAGACAAGCTACAGGACAGAGGGCAAGCCTCAGTCCTCTAGCAGCAGAGATTGCCTAAGTATACAGCATGACCTTATCCTCAAAGGTCACACTCCTGTTCTCTGCACTGGGCACTTTACTCAAGCTCAGTCACAGATTCCTCTTTCTTAACCTCCTGGCAAGCACTGGTTCCTGGGATTCTGTCCTCTGGTCTGTTCCCTCACCTGGTCAGCTCAAGGCTGACAATGCCACCTCCACAGTGAGGGATCCCTGA